TTAGGATTTATAGGGCCTAGGGTTCAGGATTTAGAGCCCTGGATCTTACTGCTTAGGATTGTCCATGCTATATGGGGTCATAGGGTTTATATAGCTTACGGTGCGGGTTAAGGTTTCGGGTTCGGGGGCTTTAGGGTTTAGGGCTTAGAGTCTACGGCTTGGGCTCAGGATTTACGGGCCCTTGAGCACAAGCCAGGATTCCCGACATGCCCTTTATCCGGCTTAGGGTTCAGTAAGGGATTACAACAGTACCCCGCCCCCAAAGGTGCCCCCCCACAGATGTAGAACCCTATTAAGCCTTATTAAGCCCCATATAATCCTTAATAGCTCCTTAAACCCTGGGGGGGGGGGGGTTACCTTTGGGGGAGGTACTATTGTAGTCCCTTATTCAGGGTTCAGGGTTTAGGGGGAACCTTGCAGCATCATTGTAAGCTACCATGGCGCAGCCTAACCCTAGGGCTCCACATGGCCCAACGTAGGTACCCCTTATAGACATTGGGCCCAGTGTAGGTATTATGTATAGACATGGAGCCCAAGGGGAAGTAAGCTCTTAAATGTTTTTGAGTTGCAGGGATGAGACTTAGCCGAGGAGCTCCAAGTACCCGTATGCGATGCTTTCAACAACAGAGAACTGGTCATGAAGTCTATAGCACAAATAGCGCGTGATACGGTTCGTGATATGGAGAGAGCTATGGCCCCTTGTCGGCAAACTTAAGGATCATACTGGCAGACACCTATATGGGTTTGGAGGCCGTTGAACGTATTGAATCGGGGCATGCTTTCCCGGGTAGGGACGGGTTGAGATCCAGCATGTTGAGCCTAAAGGTGTTTAAAGTTAGCCCGAATTTAAAGGGTTGTACTTTTGAGTTCAGCTTAAGGGCCCAAATACTATAATATTAATGGTATTTGGGCCCTAAAACCCTACTATTTGGGTCCTTGAACCCTTGGGGCTTCATAAATCTCACAACGTGAACTTCACAGTGCTCCACTCTGAATCTTCAGCCAAAAGCCCTGCGCTCTAAAGCCTAGAGGAGAACCCCTCCTGTGCAAGCTATACGAACCATGATCTAAACTCCTAGTATGCCCTGTAATTACCCCTATAGTAGTGCCCTATATAATCCCGTTTATAGCCCCCTTCTTTCAGGAGTTTAGACCCTAAACCCTGAATCCTAAACCCTGTAAAATCCCAGAAATAGTTCCCTAAGATTACTGCTCATAAAAACCCTCAACCAAAATGCCTGCATGCCCTGAACACCAAGAGAGAAATCCTAAGCTGCAAACCCGAAACCAGTCCCCAGAACTTTTCAAAGGGTTTAGGGATTGCGTTTTAGGGTTCAGGGTTTAAGCCCTAGGCCCTTAAACCTACACCCCAGCATACGTCTATACAATCCCTATGACAACATGAGCTTGAGTGTAAACTCCGAGCATTCCCCTTAAAACCCCATGTAATACTCTCGTATGTAACCCCCTTTAGGGAGTTTCGACCCTAAGCCCCAAACCCTATATAAGTCCCTAAGGATTCAGACTACAGCTCACGTGGAGAGCCTGAACCCCAAATTCCAGAATAGAGGCCAGCTCATAAATCCTCAGGCCAAGATTCAAACCCCCCACATCACAAAACCCAAAATAGAGACATAACTTTTAAGGTTTAGGGTTTATGGTTGATGGACATAGGGTTTAGGATTTAGGGATATAGTCTTTAGAGTTTAGGTTTTCAGGAAACCACCAACCAACCAAAACCCCTGAACCCTAAACCCTAAACCCGCAACCTTAAACCCTCAACCCTAAACCCTAATCTCTAAACCCTAAACCCCTAAACCCTCAACCCTAAACCCCTGACTCCTAACCCTTGGGACCTGCTCCCGATCGCGCGCGGCCTGAGCCTGCTGCTGCTGCTCCTTCCAAAGGCTCTACGTAAGGTTTGGGATTTAGACTTTGGGGTTTTAGGGTTTTTTTTTTGGGGGGGGGGTTAGGGTTTAGGGTTTAGGGTTTTAGGGTTTAGGGTTGAAGGTTTGAAAGTCCAAGGCTCACCCTAACCCCTAGGCTTCAAGGTTTTCAATGAGGGTTAAACGTTTAGGGTCTAAGGTTTCAGTTTCAAGCTGGAATCTCGCATGCTCTTTCTATTCCCTACGGCTCCAAATAGCCCAATGCAGGTACTATGAACAAAGCTTAGGGTACAATTCATATGGACTTAGGGACCAAATCTTCTGGTTCCCATATGAGCTATAATCTAAACTCCTAGTATCCCCCATAATAACCCCTATAGTAGTCCCCTATATAACCCCCTATATAGCCCCCCTTTATAGAGTTTAGACTATAGCTCATATGGAATTGGGCCCAGAGGCTCGCTATGACAGGACTCCGGACATCAATTGTGGGGAGTGTTGCACCAAGACCCAGGTTTCCCCACAGATTCATCTGGGGGATTGTCAAAATTATGGTCCCTTTTTGGGTCCCTATTATAACACGGGCCTAATACGGGGCCTAATTTAGGGGACCCAAAATGGGACCATAATTTTGACAATCCCCCATCTGAATGCCGGGATCTTCGCTTGAAGCTTTAGGAATCAGGGACTCATTCTCTTTGGCCACTGGGCTTTTGGAGTTAGGGTTTAGGGTCGTGCCAACATGAAACCGAAGTAGGGCTGAATAGTTACCAATACAGTTACTTCGGTTTCTACTCGAGGCTACACCGTGATTACACCTGCAACCGTAACGTTGGTAATTATTCAAGCTTCTACATTATTTCTATGCAGGGCTACATGTGCCTTAGCTTAAGTCCTTTGAAACTACAATTGTCCTACTTGCAATTCCAACTATAACTCCAAGTGAACCTCCTGTACTACCCCTACACGACTCCCATAGAACCCCTGCATATCCCCTACATTACCCTATTTCACCCCCTTGTACTACCCCTCATGTAAGACTTAATTTCTTTCTCGACCTTTACCATGCTGTTTCTCCAAGCCATGAATGTTAGGTTCTGCTATTGATAAGGGTTCATGGCTAAGGTGTTTGGGTTTAGGAAGCCATGACAAATTAATGCAGGTCTCTGCGCTAAGAATTATTCAAGAATAGTATTTGCAATATTCAGACTTCTACAGTAAAGAACTACTATCTGTCCTATACCTGCTGATGGCCTGCAAACTAGATCCTAAACCCCCCCAAACCCCATACTGCAAAGCGCGTAGCCCACCAGCTCTGTGTTTCCAGCCCATGCAGCTGCTCCTCCCTCCGCCTGCCTGCCCCGTCGGCACGCCCAGAGGCCTTTCTAGGCGGTATGTGGGCTATGGCGTTCGAGGCTTGAAGTAATAAAGGTCCAAAGGCGTGCAGCTACGGTTAAGGCTTTGAGAACCAGATCATCTTGAACGCTACATGACATGAAGCACAACTTGCGCATTGCAGGGTCTTGAAGAGAGTTCGGGAGAGGGGCCACTAAAAACGGACAGGTTAGGGTTTAGGTTACCAGTAATCCCTACCTGTTTTCTACGGAATCGCTCTCAGCATGGTCAGGAGGAAGCAGCGCCTCGCAAGTCTCATGGCTGTCGTATTCTCTGATCATGAAGAAAAAGGCCAGTATGGATGTGGTCTCTGTCTCTTAGGGTCTTGCGACGCAAGGTCAACTAACATGTATGCATTTAGAGTTATGTATAGGCATGCAGGTGAAACAAGTACATAGATAAATGCAAAAAGTGTATACAGATACGTATACATATTTATCTATATACAGATGCAGATAGGAATGTGTCACTATGAATGATATATACAGCAAGATAGTGGAAAGCTTTGTATGTCCGTCGGTATGTAGGTATGTACGCATGTGTATAGGTATGCATGCATGTGTCCCTGCACACATTACATATCAGGTCCGAGCATCCAGGCTCAGAGACAATCGGAGCAGGTTTTTCCGTGTCAACATTTTGGTGTTTTGGATGGCCTCCCCGAGGCCTGGGGCGGCCCAGGCCGAGGCTCCCGGAAGGTTCCAGATCCCACCCCCAGTTTAGGGTTTAGAGGGTTTAGGGTTTAGGGTTTGAGATTAAGGGTTTAGGGTTTAAGGTTTAGGGTTCAGGGTTTAAGGTTGGGTTTAGGGTTTAGGGTTTAAGGTTTAAGGTTTAGGGTTTGGGGTTTCGGGTTTAACACTCGTTGGGGTTGGGCACCAACCTTTGTGGTTTACTCAAGTCACACTGCCTGCCCATTTGAAGAAGAAATCCTCTTTGTTGACCTTCTGACAAGGACGTCTTCTGTTCTCAGTATAAAGATCATGGTTTTGGGCACCTTTGTTATATCTTTTTGTTACCTGTTGTTTACATTTATTGTTTATCTTTTTGGAATTGTGTGGATTTACCTTTTCAATATTTTCACCGTTTTTTAAATCCAATTTCCTGCCTTTCCGCTCCCTAAGAATTGTAACCGTAGCAAAAAAACCCTCATCTGACTGACCCTTGAAGCCCCAATAAATCCCTACTGGATTCCTAGCGGTGTCCTCATGCTCTCCCGTAAGATACGTGCCAAAAAACTAGGCATCAAACTCTAAACAGCCTGGACCCTCAAGTCCAACCCCCGCCTCCAACAAAGGAAAGGCCAAAAACTTACACCCATCAACCAACAACCTGCAAAACAACGCACTCTCGAAATCAGTTTCTCCTTTTCTATGAACACAAATTCCACCATCCCAGCGCCTCCAGTAGGCTCTGAACCTACCCAGTGATAAACTCACAGCCAAAATCAAAAGTCCAAAATGTTGAACACATGACCCAATGAGATGGTATATTGGCTACTGTAGGTAGAAGGTACATCATAAACCAGGAAATTCTCCCCACAAAGCCTTGATGCCTGCAAAAATGAAACCGAAGCCTCACCCTTTTAGACAGGAATCGGGATACGTATTTATATACCTATATATACATATATATATATATTCATCTTGCATACAACCCACAGAAGGCTTAAGGCTACTCACCCAGCTACAAAGAAACCCAACAGCCCTGAAGCCTTCGAGCCTGAGCTGTCTCGAAGGCGGTGTCGAAGTCCACAGAGGCATCGTCGTCGTCAACGTCCAAGCGCTCTGATACGTCGTGGCTCCTCCATAGCAAGCATCGGGGTTGGTCACTGACACAGACAGCCACTGGGTCATTTGAAAGGAATTGTAGGGATTCAAGTGTCCCGGCGTGGGCCACTTGAGCGCGAAAGGTGTTGTAACGTGATCTCGAAACCTGTTGGTATGTGACTATGTGGAGAACATCTCACACATGGCAGCAGTCACAAGGACGCGGCGTTTCGGACACGATCCTTGCAACTGAGGTTGATTGTGCATTTAAATGTCCCCGACGAATGTCCCATGAAGAGCTTATGTTTAATTCTAACACCTTCCAGAGCCAAAAAAAAAACAAAGATGAATAACCTTTTTGGCAAACCCGTATAGGTGCTTTGGCATACGATAAGTTATGCCATCAGCCCTGGCAAATGCTCTGCACATTTCCTGCATTTCCTGAAGCCAACCCATATAGGGAAGGGTTTCGGGGATCATGCTCTACTCGCTCCTCTCCTCCACTCCCTTCACCCATCCCACTCACCCATCCTTAGCCAATCACAAAGACCCTGGAACCCAAACAAATGTGCACCACTGAAAAGTGTAGACTCTCAATGCCGGTGCTGAGAGTAGCATCACACTTGCTATGGGGTTTCAGAACATTAAGGGTCCCCTTTTGGTAGCCCATATATGATGCATTGCGATACTTAAAGGATCAGCCAAATCATGATGCAAACTCCCTGACCAAGAGACAGCAACATACGTTCAAGGGTTTCCTTTCATTTTCGGGGGCATCCCTTCCCTGCCACGCCCATCTGATCCCCCAGCATCCCGGCATGTAACCCTTTCTACCTCAGGGATGTTTTTGTTTAAAGGAGTTTGCTGTGGTAGGGGCTATACATGTAACAACAACAAAACAGGTGGTGACCCCAAGGATAAATCCTGGACGCCTGACATCTCAACCTTCATACTGAGACTCTACCTGGCATGCAAGGGAAAGAACAATAGACACACATATATACACATGCTCACACGGTAGCATCAAGCTGTGTAGGGCTTCCGAAGCGTTATGGTGTACCTGTAACCCCACAATTACCCATTTTTTTAGTAGCAGCTGTAAATCATAATCAGAGGGTATAGCCGGTATACAGGTAAACCTTACACTGCATAACCTGTAGTCTCCTTAGACCCATAATAAAAACAGTATTGTTAATATTTCCTTAGGGTTATATTATACCTAAACCCCCCAAAGTAGGTAAAATAATGGCCCAAATCCCCTAAATATAGCCCAAAAGGCCATTATTCTACATACTTTGGGGGTCCAGGTAAACATAATTCCTAAGGACAGTACAGTAACCCCTAAACTCTAACCCCAGAATGGATGGCTCCTGCCGCTTCCAAGGTCTCGCCGGCTATTCCCGGGCGCAGCAGCCTAGGTTCCCAACAAATCAGGGCTTTGGGTTTATAGGGGGTTTAGGGTTTCGGGTTTAGGTTTTAGGGTTTAGGGTGGGGTTTGGGGTTTTAGCACTTAGGGTTTACAGGGTTCAGGGTCAAGATTGCAGAGTTGGGGGTTGGGATCGTTGAGTTCGAAGTCCCGCTGTCAAAATAACACGGCAAGAGGACCAATGTTCAAAGTTGCCTGTACCTGAAAGGGATATCCCTGAAACCAAGAGGACCTACAAACCCCATGGTACCAAGCACCTCCCGAAGCGGGGTTTCCGTGAAGAATCGCCCCAAGAATAGACCCCAACATACATTAGTCCTTCACAGAGGGACTTCCAAAGAAGGGCGCCTAATTTTCGGAAACTTGCACAAATGGGTACCTGGAGCAATGGGGATACCTATCTAATTTTGAAATTGTGGTGTTAAATGGGGTTATCGAGGGGGAGAGACAGAGAGAGAGAGAGAGAGAGAAAAACAAATATATATATATATATACATATACATAGGTTATGTAGGTGTATCGTGGATACACAGGGACCTCTGCTCGAAACCCTAAGCCCTGAAACCACGTTCCACTGTGTTTTTAAATTTCAGGGACTGACCTGACGTCTTGCACCACTTGCCTCAACGAATGCTTGCGCATGGCAACCTAATCCTGGGTTGCTGCGAGGGAATTGAAATTAAGTTACCACCATGAGTACACCCTATCATTTGCTTTATTGACCCATATTATGCTAACTGAAAGCAAGTTCCTTGACAGCAACCCAGAATCTTCTCAAAATGTTCGCGTGGCGACAAAAGCAAGCCCCTGCGGACCTAAACGAGTGAGAGAAATCGCAACACCAAACGCTTTTGATAGGAAGGGACCCCCGCCTACACCCGAAGCATTAAATCCCAAAAATCGCGAAGGATATCACGCACCGAGCAAAGGCAAGGCGCTATGCTGCTCAAGTTCAGGGGGGAGGACTCAGACTGGAGTCCGCCGGCACCTACTTGAAAGGGCTTCTCGGCATTGCAGAGTTGACGCATGGACATGGACATAGAAACCCTTTGGCCACCCTGAGTAGTCCTCGGGATGGGCGTGTTGACAGTAGCTGACACATTGGCGTGTGAACAATCATCATCAAGATGCATGCGAATAGAAGGCGCGCTTGTCATGCGCATACGAGCCAATTTGGGGTACCCTAAGGACTAAAATGCCCCAAGAATGGCTAACCAATGCCAAGGCCCTAAACCTTGAGACCCGAAATCCTGAGTAGGAAGCCAAATCCTGCAGCCCTCAAGCCTTAACTCCATAGTTCTTAGGAGGGAATGGGGACTGGATCCCTTTAGTAGCCCCTATTTAATCCCTAAGAACAATCCCTACAATCCATTCCCCCATTCCCTCCTAAGCATCAGGGAGTTAATCGTTAAATCCTAAACCCTAAACCCCAAACCCTTCAGCCCTAAGCCCTGAACCTTGAAACCCCAAAACCCCAAACTCTAAAAAAGACGCAGGGATCTTAGGCAGCGGGGCGGCGCTAATTCAGCGCTTTTACAAGGATTTTCTTGGGTACCTTTCAGTTGGGCTTCTAGGGTTAGATATGGGCTATATAGGCATAGGGAGGCTTATAAGTACACCAATTTGGTTTAGATCTGGCTATAAGCCATAAGTAAACTTATCTTACTTCTAACCCAACTCTGACGAGCCATTAACCTCCAAGTATAGCTTTCAGAGGGTGAGCTAAGGACTGCTGGTACGACCATCTTAGCCCTAAACCCTAACCCAGCTAACCCCTGATTGCTGGAGCCTTTCCCAAAATGATTTGTCCAGAGGCACGCGGCCCCCATCAATGAACATGAAACTTTGGATCCCACACCCTAAAACTTCATCCCGAAGCCCGGACTCCTAGACTCAAATGCTAAGACTGAACCGTTATCCCAACATATACGAGCACTCCTAGTATGCTACGACATATATGTTCATGGCTTTTAAGTCTTATACCTGCAGGCTATCACCAAAAAACATACCCTGGAAATACTAGGAACGATATGTTGAGTCAAGTTTTCTTCTTTTGTGAAGGTCTCCACCTTATGCCCCATAACATACAGCAACAATACATAAACAGCCGGCCCACGCCTCCCGGTGCTCCTCCTCGACGGGAGAAGGGTGTGAGGCCCAGGCTACCAGCAAGTCGGCCCTCCATATTCCTTTCCAGTTGTACGAGCCAGTAAGGACTACATAAGGGTTCAACACGGATGAAAGAGGCCGGGAGGCGTTTTCAACTGTGAGAGGTTTAGGATTTAGGCGTGAGAGTTCACAAAAAACTCCCCACACAAGCCTTCAGCCCCACAAAATCCCTATACACAACCCCTTTTAAAACTTTGGTTACCTTAACCCTAAACCCTAAATCCTAAACCCTAAACCCCAAACTCTAACCCCTAAGACTTTGGTTACCTATAGGGCTCCAGGCCTTGAGGAAAAAACATATGATGCGGGATTTACGGTCGGAATCTCGGATCAAAAAGATGTCACATGTATGGTTTAGGGCTTAGGGTTTAGGGTTTAGGGTTTAATGTTTCCCTAGGGATCCAAACAGCTCAATGTAGGTAATATTTACAGACTTTGGGGCCCAATGTAGGGATTATTTGTATACATGGATCCCTAGGGTTTCATGACGTTGCAGGCCCCATAGTCGCTTGTGCAGAATCACGACCGTGTGTGCTGGGTACTACACATGGTGCTTGCTTACTGCATGTATTCTCCCAGTTTGTATAGCAGCTAGCCATCCGCGCCACAGATTCTTGAGTTTTCCATGGTCAACAAAAATTTAAAAGTACCACTGTAGTTGATCACTGTAGGAAGGCCTACGGCTGCTTGGGATTTCTTATGCGAGTTGCTACTGCACCAGCACTGTCTCTACTAAGAATTTTGAGTAAACAAGGGAGCCTCGTATTTGCACCTGACCAGGTGACCAGATATCAACCCCTTTCTCCTTCACTTGTCAACACTGCAAGGTCTGCTGATCTCTGTGTCTCATGGTTGTTGGTCGCCGCTTTTTTCTTGGAAATCAGATCACACAGTGATGGAACCTTCCAGGGGCCTCAAATAAGAGAAGCCCACATAACTGGCATTAGTGGTATTCCCAAAAGGTGCTATTTGGATAGCTTGAAAAGTCTAAAGAGCGAAAGGGACCCTAGGCAATGGGGCTCCCTCTTCTGAAGTGTTGCGTGAGATGCACTCACGGATTAGGGCTTGGAGCGTGAGTTTAGGTTTCAGCTTTCAGTACCATCCCTATATAGCCTATATAAGCCTTACAGAGCGATCCCTAAACCTTAAAGCCTGATCCCTGTAGAACCCTTTAGGGTCACTAATGCGATGCCGTAGACCCTAAGCCCAGACCTAAACCCTGAACCCGAACCCTAAACCCTAAACCCTAAACCCAGAACCCTAGACCCTAAACCCAGAACCCTAGACCCTAAACCCTGAAGAGTACCCAAGGTTCAGGACTTGGCGCTCCACACTCGTAAGGTTGTCTGCCAGCTGCCTCTGTGCATCCTCCAGGTTGTTCCTTGGCATTAACCCCCGCGGTTTAGGGTTTAGGGTTGAGGGTTTAGGGTTTAGGCTACAGGACGCAGTTAAGGGATTTGGGAATTAAGGAATTAAGGGAAGAGTTAGCGTATAAACCAAATAGACGGCCTTCTTTGAGCACACTCACCCTAGTTTGGAATACACACCAGAAAAAAAGTATAGACTTTTTAGGTATAAGCTGTTGTAATAAGAACCCTGGAACCAAAAAAGTATTAAAGTGTAGTACTCCAATATCGGGATTCAAGCCTAGATTCACCCCTAAACCCTACACCCCAAATCCCTAAACCCTAAACCCTAAACCCTAAATCCCTAACCCTAAATCCCTAACCCTAAATCCCTAAATCCCTAAACAAGCCTAGATTCACTCGAGCGCTCAGGTGCCTTGCGTGACCAACCGCCAGGGCGGCCAAAGGTGCCAAGGCTACAGCAGAGCTATCGGGTAGCAGCCCAGGCAAAAGACGCCTGGTTTTAGTGTTTAGGGTTTAGGGCCTGACCCGGATAAGGAATCACCTCCTCTTCATAGTCTAAGCGCCACACCTTTTGCTAAACGTTCTCAACCTATTCTGGTATGTGGGAATATCCAAGGAGGTGAGGGGTTGCAACATTAAAGGGATGGGATTACCCTCAACTGGGTTTATGTGAGTCTGATTGTTTAGCGCGTTTGGGCTCTACAAAGGGGGGGTTCCGAGGGTGGCTTAGCGTGTTATGTTTTTGGTTTAAGCTTTTGAGGGTTGAATGCCCTGGGCTCTGGGTTTTTGGTTTGGGTTGAGGGTCAAGGGTGCAATTAATGGCACATGCGAGCGTGTCATCATGATTCACATATAGATGCTTCTTAGTCTCAGAACTATGATCATGATACACAATCTTGTTGGCAATGTTATCGATGAATGGCAACTTGTTTCATGTTGACCCACAATATATGCGCAGATTGAAACCCTTCCCAATATACTTCTCCTCCTTCCAATACTACTTTCCCTAAAGAGCACAAGAAAAGCAGGCCGCTTCTTAAAGCTGGGTCTTGTTGATTAGGGATGATTGAAATTATTACTTTCCATTTGTGGACACACACCCGCCTCAGGCTACTACCAGGGTCCGCGAGCTGGCGCCTAAGTTCCGCCTCGGCCACAGGGGTATCGGAAGACGCCAACCAGCAGAGCGTCCCGCGGGAGCGCGCAGCCCGCCCTTCAGGCAAAGGGTCTACGCGCACGAGGTCAACTGGAAGCTCCCTAAGCGCACTCCGGATGTTCTCAGAGCTTGCGGACTCCGAGTGTTCCGTCCAGTTGAGGGTAAGCATCATTGTTGAGTTCGGCGGGGCCGTGGAAGTCGGCAATCCACTGGTTTCCAAGCCGCTGCTGTCCACACTATCAGTGGTCCTCACCCAGAGTTGGAGGCTGCTCAAAGATTCTATTCCTATGCGCGGATTATGCAACTTGTTAAGCCATTCTGAAAAAACGAAGATGCTTCAAATCAAGTCTAGAGTCAGCAGGTTGTCCAAGTGGTCTTCCAGTCGGCTGAGCCGGGTCTCCAAGCGGGACACCTCGGGGCTCGAGGGGCTGGCAGGCTCAGCCCTTGCGACAGGCTCGACCCGGGTGACTGGCTCAACCTGCACTGCTGGGACGAGCTAAGGTTGTGATATGGGGAAACGTAGGACCCTTAGCAGGGATTATGTAAGGATGTATAGGGATATAGGGATTGCATATTAGCTACATTTTCTTTTTTGTGGGGTGTAGATGTGGGATATGTACGATTCTTTGAAGGGATTGCATAGGGTTTTTTCAAGATATAGGGCTTATGTAATGGCAAAGAAAAATGCAACACCAATATGATCTAAATTGTGCAGGTATACCTGAAACCTGCCTGAGCCACTAGGAGATTAAACACTAACAAACCGTAGGTGTTAGGGTCACAATCAAGGCTTGGGGTTTAGGGGCTGTTCTAAGCAAGCTATACACTACGGCTGGCATGACGACTCCTTTTTGTTTAAGCCGACTCCAAACCCTAAGGGTTCAAGTACACAAACATCAGGGCTTGAGGTCCCAAATACCATTCAGATTATAAGATTTGGGCCTCAAAACCTCGGTATTGGAGTCCTTTGGACACTTAGGGCAAAATCAAGTTTTCGTGAATCCCACCCGGGTATAGACTCCCTCCAATGGCTGATGGATGCGCGTGGCGCCCAGCTGCAAGCTGCGGATGCTGGCCTGGAAGCGGAAGGTTTTGTTCTAGCGATCGCAGGGTTTCGGGGTTGCGTTCAGGGTTTTTGGGTTCAGGTTTCAGGGTTCATGGTTTCGGGTTGAGGGTTCAGGGGTCCAAGTGCCACCAACTACTGTTTGGAGCCCAAAAGTATAAATATCTCTTATGAAATTTTGGGGGCTTCCTGCGTCCAACGGCGCAAGGCATCGCAAGGCAATTTGTCAAAGAAGCCTGTCCACACATAGCAACCCAAAAACCTCCACTCTGCAAATCCTATTGGCCCTGAACCCCGAAACCTTCAACATTCAAACCTCTTACTTGTACTCCGCCCATCGTTACCCAGAGGGTCCATGTACCCAATAATTAGGTACTTGGGATTTGGGTAATAGTGATTATGGTACAGGTTTTGGGTAGGTATATGATTATTAGGTAGTTGGACCGTTAGGGTTACCAACAAAATACATGGTGGCCTCAGCACGATCCACGCGAGCTCGCACCTCGTCCAGCTGCGGGCCAACAGAGGACCCTCAGCTCCCAGGGCTTATTGTCCTTGTTATACACTACTCTTCATTACTACTCTTCTTCTTCCTACTACTACTACTACTACTACTACTAGCCGCCCCCCCCCCTACCAACTATGTTTGCTTAAATTGCCAATATAAATATGGGGGAGGCGGCATTAGAAAACAGTAAGCAAC